GGGGGGGGGAGGTGGGGGGGAGTGCGGGTTATGCTGCAGCCAAAGCATCAGCATCACAGCCAGACAATTAGCATTTTTCAGAAGGAGGGGAGCAATGGCAGCCTACATATTTGTCTTATAAATTGCTAAAAGTCCTAATAATTTAATACCACACCTTGACTGGTAGAAAACAGCTCTGTCACTCCAATCTTTGTGCAACTAAATACTGAAGGGCTGGGTGCTGTCACTTTTTGTTCCCAGGTGTCTCTTCCTTTACTTGGACGCAATTCGTTGGAATTTGCTGATAAATCTATTTGCAAGTCAGCAAAGGAGGTCACTAAACAAGAGTCAGTGGTAGAAGAGTCATCTCGTGGTGTCCATGGCCTAGAGTCTGGAGAAGGCCCAGAAAATGGATGGAAGGGAGAATCCAAACCAGAGTCTTCAACATTTTCAGGGGAAGAGGAAGAGAATGGAGATGGAGTAGAGTTGAGAGTACATGTCCTGCAACCTGGCAGAGCAAAAAAAAAAAAGTGTTTAACAAATAACCTTAAACTAGGCAAACATCAGCCAATTTGTTGTTATATATACGACCAAACTAAAAGATACAATATAAAAAGCTACTCTAAATTACCATTTTGTACCCCAGAACATATGATTTACGGAAAGCCCATGCAAATAAATGTTACCTGGAAAATCATCAGCCTCAAAAACAGATTCCTGGAGAGGCCCAAATAAGGAATGAGCAGGGTAAGTGCGGCACATCGAGTTTGTATCACTGGTAGAAGTAGAAAAATTGGGTAATTAGCCATGTATCTTATTTATTACATAATAAAAATAAGATGTATTAGCTGCCCAGCTAAAGTAAAAAAAATACCACTACCTTGTACGCGCTGAATTTTTTGTCATGTGTGCCACTACGAATCATGGCTTTTTGCTGCCACATGAATTCAGTGGCATTGTCCTGCGCCAGGAGAATGCCACTGGCAGTTTTCTGTGCAGCCATCAATGCATTGGCCTCAGCCTGTACTGCATTGAGATCCTCTGCACTGGAGACTGTGCCAAAGTCTCTCCATCAGAATGCTTAGCTACTTGCATTCTCTCTGACCCAGGAAACAGGTCTCCCATCATGTCCTGCCGCAATTTCAGTTGGGTTGAAAGACCACTCTCATTAACAAAATCCTCAGATCACAGGCTTAGGTTGCCAGTTCAGATGTTGTGGATTGGGTACAAGAGTGGGTTATGGACGTGGCTGCTGTTAGTTGAGCGCTTTGTGCAATTTGGTTACCGTGTTCAAAGGTGGGAGACTACCCCTGTGCTGCTCTAATGTAATTTTTAAAATTAATTGGGCAATCAAATTCCTGCATTTTGGTGCACTGGTGTAATGTCTTAAATATAAACACCCTGCTTTCTGCATCTTTGGTTTTGATTTCTGTCTGCCAAATTAGTAACAGAGCAGACAGATCGACACCGACTTAGACTTGTTACTTGCACTTGACATTTTTTCACTTTGAGAATAAAAAATCTGTGGCATTCTGTGTAATAGTATCTGAACACACTAATCCCAAACTGCTAACAGACGAGACTGAAATGCTTACTATTTAAAGCTTAGAAACAAAGCTAAACAATTGCAAAAGTAATTTATATTAACCAACCCCTCTTCCAAACTGGATTTTGGAGACACCAAAACCTGGCTTACAGGAAGCTGTCTCACAATGCTATGTAAACATTTTTACAAACTGTTTTATTGAAATTGCATTGCAAAAATGTTTAACATTAAAAGAACAAAAAAGAAACATACAGGCTCCTGTTGATCTAAAATGACGAGTTGCCTGGCAAAAACAGAGTTGAGGCCCTGTTATGCATACTTTAATCTGTGTGACTTGATAGTCAGGCCACTAGTATTTTTCATAAGATGGTCACCAATAGCAGCCTAAAAGATACCAACAAGGTTGTTTCTAACAGCCGTAATGGCTCTATATCATGTAAGGATCTGGAAGACGAAATCACCAACACTCACAGAACCGAGGATGTGGATTTCTTGTTCCTCTTTATTGAACATGCGCGAATGAACCTACATTTCGGGGCCACACAGGGTCCCTTCCTCAGGGCAACATAGTGACCTTAAAAGAGAACTACGGGGTAACTGTTTTCCCCCATAGTTCTCTTAAGGGTCACGGAAGGACATATACTAGCGTCCTCCTGTGACCCAAAGCTCAGTATATAGCGAGCTACAGCTCGCGGTATATTGAGAGCGCCGCAGCTGAGATGGATCCCGACAATGCTGTCGTGATCCACCCAGCTGCGTGAATGACAGCTGGCTCTGCCTATCTGGAGGTAGAGCCAGCTGTGCCTGCCCCCACCCCGTTCGTTCCTCCAGTCAGCGCTGGAGGATCGGAGAGGGGAATCCATGCAGGGAGCCTTGACTGACAGTCACTGCTCTCTGCAGGGAGATGGTCGAGAAGTGAGAGAACGACGGTACGGCTCAAACTATGAGGATCAGTGATTTTCACTCACCTCACAGTTCTTTAATAGTAACAATGCTCCTAATTTCGAGCATGATTATTGCTTTATTTCTCCTTTCTGTGAGAGCAATAATAAAAACACAGGGCAATTTCCCAACTAATAGGCTACAGTTCTTCTCTAATTGTTCTATTATGGGCAGGTATCTCCCTACCCCTTGTTCCTGGGACATCCATAGCCCGCTACACAATGGAATAGCAAAACTCTTGAGGCTGCATATAAAGAGGCAGCAAAAAAGGAACATAGAGGATGTAGCCCATAGCAGCAAATCCAATTCCATTTTGTTTTATCTGGAGGGGACTGAGCAATAAAAGTTCATATACTGTACATATACATGATATACATAATTGCCCTGAATTCTCTCCTTGGCCCACATTTTACCACAAGTTTCTATAAGACTCTATCCATAGCTAAAAACATAGCCAAGTTTTTTTAAGTTGTTGAATTTAGATATGAACACTTTTTGAACTGTTGTATTAATCAAACATTTGTGTTATAAAGGATAATACATGCTTGTGGAGAGTATCTTTTTAGTTATCTTTCAGTAACAGCAAAATGTATAAAAAGATACATAAAGGAGCTTAGCGGAGTTAAGACAAAGTGATATATTAAAGCTGAAGTGCAGACAGATATAAAAAGCACACATGATTGCAGCTCTGTATTTATAAATAAATTCATGTATTTTTTTAATGCAACTAGTGTTAATACCAGATTTTGACCCTAGTATTATCCTCTTGGAATCCCGTATACTGCAGCACTAAGACTGGAATCGGGAGGGGCAAGACTGGGAGCCAATTAGGTGTGCAGCATGCAAATATGTTGGCAAGGAACATGCTAAACAAAAGAGCATAGTGAGTAGAGAGATTAGCTCATCAATTTGCTGCTGCTCTTTCACTGCCCAGTGAGAAGGCTGAGGGTGGAGAAAGGATGCCACTCTATTCCTTAACTTTAAATGGTGTCATCCACCTGGCTGTGTGATGGGGCTGTGTAACTCTCAGGACTGGATGAACAAATACTAATCCTTGGTGGGCCAAACATCTCCCATGTATATTTTAGCTGCTTGTCTGGGGTTCAGCTTTAAAACAAGATCAAACACAGGCAAATGCCCACACTGAAATACCTGTTGTTGACAGTGGATGGAGGCGTGCTTGAAAGAGTGACAGCTGATTTATCTGTATAGAAATATACACATTTATTGTAATGCAGTCTGTGAGAATCGTGTTTTCAATTAAACCTGAACGTTCATTTAAAGAGATAGCTCACCTGTCTGACATGTTATTTGTGTTTCTCCTGAAACAGAACCTGTGCCCACTGCAGTGCCTAAATAGCATTAGAACAAATAAATTATTAACAGGAAAATGCTACACTTGAGAGGTCAACGCCACTGAAGATGATAATGAAAAAGTTAAAGTGTATGTATAGCTTATATATTTTGTTTAGTTTTGGATAACTTAGGGAAGAGTTAAAATCCATGCGAGTTTATTTTTTTGCTGTGTACCATTGACAAATTGCCCTTTATTTCTTCTCCCAGAGATGCAACAGGAAGTTAGAGAAAATTTACCAAAGTGAGGCAAATCCCCCACTTTGAGAGTTGTCCCCTTAAACAGATGTTCGTATTAAAAGATTTCCCCTCACCGCTTGTTTTGGGTACAGCTCTAACATGCTGGATTCCCTCTTACTTCTTTGGTTACAGTGGTCAGCAGTACAAATAAGTAAAGGGGTGAATTTCCCCAATGAGGACACAAGCAGCAATAAAAACTTGACAGAGGCTTTTACCCTTCCTTATTTTATACAAAAAAAAAGTTTTTCCTAGAGATGCAATCTAAAGAAGAAGAAACAAATCAAGTAAAAGAAACCTTAAACATACAAGAGAAATCAGCAAAGGGTGTGTATGGAAAAGTAAAAGGATGAATAAAATCTGTAGTCTTACTTACGCATTGTCTGACGCCTTACAGATACCTGCAAAACAAACCAGCGCTGGAATTACATACACTCAGAGAATTGAATGAACAGGTCTCTACTAGTGGCACATATCAAACACTGCAAAACCTGGTAAAAAGTGAATATGACGGTTGCGTTGGTCATGAAACTTGACCCCACAAAAACAGGGGCCCACCTCCCAAAACACTGGTACTCTGGGCACCCAACTCTTCAGCATCTCTTGTGCCCAGGAGGTGGTGTCAGCAAGAGGAAGCATAGAGCCCAACTATTTGGCCCCCACTGGGAGCAAGTAGGTGGATGCCCCTTTCCCAATGAATGGGTTTTAGGGATAGCACAGAGCCCCCTTATTTATTTACCAGTGCATGTGGGTAGGTCATAGTAATAAAAAGAAAATAAAAAACCCAATAACCCATTCGCACACTGAGGAATTTCCCATGTTTTATGTGCCCAGGAAATGTAGGGGAAAGGGTTCACCATGATATCATTGCTCATATTTTGTATTCGTCCAAATGTGGGCCCAAATTAACCATGGAAGCGCTGCACCTGCATTAAAAACACTATTTCAGCACGCTCCTTGGCCAAACATCCCAAAGCTAAGAAGCACTTTAAAATGCATATCCTCCACTTCAAACCAGGCAATAGTTTTAATATTGTGAAGGAGAAAAAAAGGCAAATATTAAACAACGTGAGCGATAAATATAATGAATATCACAGTAATGCACTTTTCCATTTAATGACAGATGTTGGCAAAGTCTTGTTTGAAAACATGTTTACATGGGCAGATAGTATTTGTTTACATTTTCACATGGGTGAATGTTGTTTGAAGTTGGGCGAAAACCACTGTGATAGACTGAATATGGAAAATTGAATCTTGGTAAAGAAAAAAATGGGCAAACAGGTGAGTTTGATATTGAATCATTGATAAATGCACCCTTTTTTGTGTATTTCTCTGCTTAGTGGGGTATTTTTTTTAGTAAGAGGTTTATTTTAATTTTATATTTTCGCATTAGAACATTATAACATAGAAAAGGTGTAGCAACCACTACATCTATAGTATAAAAAAAGCGGTAAAGAACACAGGGAACCAAACATTTATAAAAATAAAAAAGGGAAGGAGAAGGGGGCTAGGGAACAGGACTAGAAACAATAAAAGGGTTGTTAGGACTTTGCTTTCTTCAGAATATGTAGAGTACAGGCTATTGGATATATAGGAGATGGATACAAATAAACATACATTTGCAAAAACAGGGTGTGAGGAATCTGGTTGTAGTGCCATAGATGAATCCAACCATAGTTGCCAAATTGTATATATTTTTTGTAGCAAGCTCTGTCAATGTATATAAATTTAGGAAGTTCCAGTATGATTTGGCACAACACTTGATATACTGCTGTACAGCGGGTGATGTTCACTCCACCATTTATGTAGAACAGTTTGCCTAGCATGGAAACCAGTGCGAGTATGGGTAAGAGGCACAGTCATCAATATGCCCAAAAGGACATGCCACCGTGGTTCCTGGAACAAAAAGTTTAGTTGGTTCTGCGGCTCAGACATTAAGTCCATCCAGAAAGCTCTAATGCGGGGGCAAGTCCAGAACATGCGCATCACATTATCTGGGGAATTACCACACCTGGGGCAACAATGAGATCATCTATATAGAGTCTATATAGTACAGTTTAGCTTGTGTATAGTGCAACTGATGAAAAAGTGTGCAAGTTTGTCGCCGTGCTAACAACATCTGCAAACCAAGTGTCTACAACCTCCTCCAAAGCCATCTTCCGTTAGATCAGGAAGAAATTGGAGCCCTTTACAATGAGAAGCAACGAACGGTTTGGTTACCTTAGCCTGAAGGCATTTGATTAATGTCTTAGTTAATTTAGTTTGTCCTGATGTGTATAGGTAAATTTCCATTGGGTTTGAAGAGCATGACACAATAAACACTTTGTAGTTATAGAAAAATCTATTATCAATTATCTGACAGAAACACCAGGAAGAGTCAGGATAATTGTAAAGTTCTTGCAGCTTATGATAATACCATAATAGGTTCCAAGGTGACAGTTGAGTCTGAGAGGGCGAAAGGATATCCTCAGCAGTATTCTGAAAAGCTACTGCTTACTCTTGGACCTGAAAGGGTTAAGTGGTGCACTACATCACCAATTAGATGTTTTCAGATACAGTGATCGCCAAATACAGAGTCATTGCTGCCATTCTAAGGGCAACATAAACTGGTGTTATCTATCAACCTTTAAAACGTAGTTACTACCGAGTGTTTCACTGCTTTTGCCCAAGGTCAAAGTTACGTTGGGTTTGTAATATTGGTAAGATATAAAAACTTACCACTGCTGCAGGAGGCTGAATCATACAGCCCACAGTCTCCCGAAACCTTTTGAGTTCAGTTTCTTCATCTTCCAATCTCTCCCCAGTCTGTGCAGGTTTTATCTGAATATGGAAACGTCGTGGTTCTTCATCATCATCATCAAAATCAGAGTCACTTGAAGAGCAGCAAGTAGTTGCAGGTGCTACTGTTTTGTTGTTAAGAATTTTAGAACAGCTGTGTAGCAAATAGTTAAGCATTACTCCTCAATTATACTAAGTCAATTAAAACACTTATATTGTTCCTTTTTGTTGTTGTCTTGTGCTGCTAAACTAGTAAGAAGTATTTGTGTCCAATGACAAGTGTATACACAGTGTGTATATTGCCTGTTGTATTTCAGACCCTGTAGTCCATTCAGTAAACAATGGAACAACTTGCAGTGACTCTCACTGGAATTTAACTTGCTATGAACAAACCAAAATCTAGTTCATTGCCCTAGGGATCCTGGTTGCAATATTTTTAGCTCTGTAACATGGTGCCAAAAAGAACACCCCTAAATATATTACCTACCCTTTTTGAAACCATTTGTCGACACGCAGAGGTTACCTGGTCGTGTGATCTCTCTCCTTTATGGTCTATTACTGACAAAAATACCCTTTTGACCATTCTACTTAACTGAATGGGAAAAGAACGTACATTGGGTCCTCATGGAACCAAATGCTCTGAAATACTATGCAAAAGATCACTCTAGGCACCTCATCCCACGAAAGGAGTTTAAAACTAAAATCAGACCAGATGGTATAAAAAGCCTGTACACTTTGCACGGAACAATCCCAGCAGTATAATAGGTGGGAGGTGTGGAACAAAAAAAAGGCACTTTGCTTTAAATCTGGTAAAAATTGCCAACCCATTAAGAAATTCTGGAATCAGACCTTCAAAATTTATCATCAGTTAATTTCCCGCAAATTATTATACACCCCACAAATAGTCCTTCTCTCGATTATTACAAGGTCAATATCCACAATAAATAGGAGTCTGCCGCGCTTCTTCCTACTTGCATCACGCACAGCAATTGCTAGGCACTGGAAATCCACTAAGGCTCTAAAATCTATGGAAATGGGTCCAGCAACCGTGCCATTTGATGTGGATGAAAAGCCTAACAGAACAAATACATGACAGATGGAAACAACTGGTGCATGCTTGGGGCACCTAAACATTATTTATGGACAAAGCCAAATCTCAAACCTTCCTAAAAAAATTCAACCCCACATTACTAATGCGTCATCTTTTGATCCCTTAAAATCATCATATTCTGAGTTGCCTTGTCTGGGCCTTACTGCACCATGCATAAGCACCCCCCTCCTAACATCCCTCCTTTTCTACCCTACCCCTTGATCACATGCTTCTTATCCGGTTATAGCTCTTCCTTCATTTTCCTTGCTATTGCATACACGTCCTTCTTAAATATATCGATTATATCTACACGATTTCTCCAGACTGGCATGATCTACACATCCCCTTACAGTTATGTTATGTACTGTGTTACTGTCTATGTATGACTTTACCATTCAGAAAGACTACAAGTGTACATGTATTTCTCGATCTAGCGCCCTCATTTTACAGCCTGCTTCTTACTTTTTCCATCTTCTAAAATACTCTTCCTGATAATAGTGCCATCTCGTCTCAAATTATCTCCTTTACCTGTACTCTACACCCCCCGTCTGTCCTCTCCCTATTACTGAATCACCTTCTTCCTTTTTCAGTAGGGGTCCTTCAAAGCTCTGTCCACAGTTCCCCTCTGTTCTCCATCTACACCTCAATCCTGGTTGACAATCTGGCACAACTTTTAATACCATCTTTACACTGACGACACCCAAATCTATCGCTCTACTCCTCAGCGCACCCCTACAGTATTGTCACACATCAGTTGTTTACGAACTGAGAAAGTGAGGATATTTCTCAAACTCATTCTTTCAAAAACTAAGCTCATATTATTCCCCCCTCCTCCTGTGTCCCCTCCCCTGACCTCTCCAACAAGATCAATGGCATAACCATCAGTCCCTCCACTTATGCCAGGGTGCTATATATAATCTGGACTCTCAGCTTTCCTTTAGGCTCCATATCGAATCACTGTCCTTGTCTTGCCACCTTAACCTCAATAACATTTTCAGAATTCATAGTTAGTCAGGTTGAAAAAAAGACACATGCCCATCGAGTTCAACCTAATTCACCCCTTCTTAACAAACGACACCACAAAGCTACTAATGCACTCCCTTGTTATCTCTTGCTGCTGCTATACTCATTCACCTCACCAAACATTCAGTGTCTACCTCCCTGCTCTGCCCATCCCTCCACTGGCTTCCAATAGCCCAACGTATAAATTTAAAAATACGATCATACTAAAACATCCACAAGTGTGCCCCGAGCTACATCGATAATCTAATTCCAAAATATCACCAAAACCATCCACTCAAGACCCCCTGATCTCTAGCTCCCTCATCACCTCTTCCCATGCACACCTGCCAGGATATCTCCGGAGCATCACCAATCCTCTGCAACATCCTACTGCAATAAGTCTATGGCTGGGCACACACCTTACAACCATCGCAAGACAAGTACGATCTGCCTATCTTGCATATCGCAAGCCACGCCCCCTGAGGGGCGGGCTTCCGATGTCTGCAATGCTGAACGGGCAGTGTGCGCTTGCGCACACCGGCCCGTCCGGCTTTTATCTCACGAACATGCTACACACCTGCCGAATATCGTACGATGTTCGGCTGGTTTTGAAACATGTTCGTAAGTTTAAAGTCGTGCGACCTTACAGTAGTAGAGGTCGCACGGCTTCCACACACCTTACGATAATCGTACGATCGTGGGATTTCCAGCGATTATCGTACGATTATCGTAAGGTGTGTGGGGACCTTATATCTCCTACTCTGTCTCATCTTTCCAGGGAAGCCCATATTAGCGTTTGTATCACTTGCCCCTCCTTTTAGAATGTAAGCTCCCGCAAGAAAGGCCCTTCTAATCCTCTGGTATTGCAACTGTGCTGTTTCCCTTTATTTTGTAAAGTGAGGACATTATATAAATCGTGTATAGTAATAACTCTATTTTTACCTTTCCATTACTTTGTTTCAAGGACAATGATTAGCTAGACAAATAAAGTTAGTTAACACACCGAAAGCAAAACAGTAATAAAACTGACAAGGTTTTCCTTTTTATTTTTTTAATAAAGAAGGTTTTGGCTATACCTAACCTTTTAAAAATGCATTCATTACATTTCCCCTAACTTAGCATTTACACTTCTCTAAGTTGTTTATATACCGAATTCTTCCATCATACTTAAAACAAACAATCCATTATCCACACAGCAACCAAGGTATGAGTAATGCAGTGCATAAACCAGATTTGCTGTGAAAAAGGAACTATTGTTACAGAATAGAACACACTGTACAATGCACAAGAAAGTCTGCCAAAAGCACAAATCCCCCCACAATCCTGGCCATATTATAATGGAAACATTAACCTTTTGCTCTTTCAAGCAGAGGTTTTTGAAACATTTCAAAAACTGTAGCACAGACAAATTCAGAACCTTCTGTTAAGCACACGGTCGGTATTTCTCTACAGGTTCACAGTGCAGTTTATCTGGTTTGAAATATAAACATGAAGCAAAAAAAAAAAAAAGTACATGTCCTTGTAGCAACAAACGTCTTATGTGTTTTGCCTTTGCTGGAAAAATTAAAGCTCACAGCTGTTGGTCTCTAAAATGTACCTGTGCCATGAGCTCCTGGGTCCTCTGGTACCACCTCAGTTCACATCCCACAGTCCTGCACAGATATGACAGAGAGATGTCAAAGCAGATGGAAACTAAAAGGACCCTCTGCTGCCTCCAAAAACACAGCTATAAACCACTTTTTCACCCCCCGGACACAGGGCACCTCATTACCAGCAGCATATAAAAGGACAATTGCAGAGACAAACCCCAGAATCTTCCCAGAGCCTGCAAAAGGTGAGCAAGCCGTATGAGCCTTTCTGAAGTCTCTTCTCCTCAAAGCAGACATTCAGACACTATGTCCGCGGTGTTAAACTCCCTTCCCATCCAGGCCATTTTTCAGTATTCAGCGCTGCGGTACTTTGACTGACATTTATTCCGTCATGCAGCGCTGTACTGAAATGAATTTTATACCCTTTTTTGGGGACAGATAGAGCTTTCTTTTGGTGGTATTTATTCACCACTGGGGGTTTTATTTTTTTACTATATACACCCGGTACCGGGTGTGTGCATTGATCGGGTCTTTTCTGCCCGTGCGTGCCCGCTAGGGGGCGCGCGCGAGCAGAAAAAAATTGCCGTCTGGAGACGGCAACCCGCAGATGCTGCAGTGCCGTCCGTCCGTTTTTTTACTACGGGCGGACGGCAAGAGGTTAAAGCACTTTCTTACTTGCATATGTTTCCTTATCCTTCAGATCCTTGGGTACTGGTCCATGTATATTTTCCAGCATAATTTGCAAATAAATTAGTTCCAAATCAGCCAATGTGATTTGTCTGGATTTGTTTTCTCATTTTGTCTCTCATAGTTGAGGTCTACCTATGATGCCAATTACAGGCCTCTCTCATCTTTTTAAGTGGGAGAACTTGCACAATTGGTGGCTGACTAAATACTTTTTTGGCCAACTGTATACCCCTTGGTCACTTAGGCTGCCCTCATAGTGGCTGGACACTAAAGCCTCGCAAAGCAATGACTATCTTGTCCAGAAGGGCTTTGGGTGCCATTAAAAGGGACACATGTCCGCCTTCTTGCAAGAAAAATTTAAATTTCACTACAGTTTGTCTCTAAAGTATAAAATATGTTAAAATGGAGAGGGCAGGGCCACAATGCAAAGGCATGTTCTCTCTGAGCTCCTGGGTCCTCCGCTACCACCTCAGGTCACATCCCACAGGCCTGCACAGACTTGACCCAGACAGAGAAACGTCAAACAGTAGAATTAAAGGACCCTTTGTTGCCTCCCAAAACACAGCTATTACCTGCATTTTCATCCCCAAACATAGTGGTACTATTTTCCCCTTTTTGTTACCTTTGTTTGACAGATACATATACCCTTGGCCAATTAGGCTGCTGTCACTCTTATGTAGGGGCTCCAGATTGCCAATGAAACACGCTATATAGATGAAGAGATAAACTCCCCTATATGTAACACAGAGATGTGTCCTATTTTTCTTAAGAAGAAAAAAAATGGCACTGTATGGACTCGGGGAAGTATAAATAAACTGCTAGTGATTTAACTCACAATAATAATGATTCATAAAGGAATAAATAAAAAGGGCTTCAGCAAAAATATACGTAAACAAAAACTATATTAGAATATAACTTACAACTTATGTAGTTCAAAACACATTAAACAAATATACAATGTGTGTGTGTTTAATGTGTTTTGAACTATATAACTTGAGGATTATATTCTAAAAAGGTTTTCTGTTTATATTTGTATATCATTTTCCAAACAGCTAGTTACGAAGCCCTTTTTTAAATGTATTCCGTCATTCTTATCGTCTCTTCAGTGATAACATACCAGGTATTCTCATTCCTTATCAGCTAATAGCATAGTGTGTCCCCCAACTCCCGCCTTAGGTGGCAGCTCTACATCCTCTTCCTGGACTCCTAAACTCCTGACCTCTCCCATTAACTGCTCCAGGTCTAAATGTATGACCATAACACACAATTGTTAGTGCAAGAACCAAGCGATGTTTCAGTGGGTCTTATCACAACAACCCATTACTCTACCAATTCTTTTGACAGAAAAAGAAGGGGGATTGCAAAGGTAATTTTTATGCCTCATTCACACTGATGAAAACCGGCACGTACACATCCACGCTGCCTGCACGGCCGTATCGGACCGTTCCCGGGAAGGACAGGTGCTGCGTGCGATTGTACGCAGCAGCCTGTTGTTCTCTATGGGAGTATGCGGCCGCATGCTCACCCGAACTGCACATCCGTGCGGGTGTCCATGCTCGGACGCAGACAGGATCCATCCTGTCTGTGTACAAGTACGGACACCCGCACCCGTGTGCAGTTGGGTGAGCGTAGGGCTGCCCGACTACAATAGAGAATAAATTGGGCAGCTGCGTACAATCACACGCAGCACCTGTCCTTCCCAGGAACAGCCCGATACGGCTGTGCATGACGCACACCTTATCAGTGTGAATGAGGCCTTAAAACTATACCGGGTTTGGCTTTAGGAAATGGCAGCAAATCAGTGTTTGGACCTTCCATCTAGAAGCTACTTATCTTGCTAATTGATTAAACCTGCAGTGTATGCTTTGATGGTAGTGCTTGTTTGAAGTAGGTTCAATGTTCACCTGTTTGTAACAAATGGCCATATTTGTGTACACCTGCAAACTCCTGTTCTGCAAATGGAAGGAGGTGTTCAAATGTATTCAACACCTTAAAACAAGCATGCAATTTGCAGATTTGTTTGGAATAATTGCAGCTTGCAGAATATTTTTTTTCAGAAAACAATTATAATTTTTTTCTTTACAATGGCGCCTTCCGACCTTTGATTTTTTGTGCCCATCTGCCAGTCTTACCAAACATGTCACAACTTTGATAATTGAGAAAATACTTTGAAGAAAGGCCTCAATATACTTCTGGATACTCTGATATCCAGAAAATATTCCTGCTGTGAAGCTACATGCGTTGTGTGATCACACATAAAAGTGTTTTAGGCCGATTCACACGTGTCCATATTCCTGCAGTAAAACACAGCAATTGTACTGCATGAAAATGTATTTTAACCCTTTCGCTGCCAAGCCCTCCAAAACATTTTGCACCTCAGCTGGCCCCGCCATTTTTGCAATTTTTCCCATTGATTTGATTTTCAACTGCTGCGTTGCTAGCGTTTGTAAAAGACCCCCCCAAACCATATATTTTCTGAAAGCGCAGACTCGGTAATAAAGATAAAACTGCATTAAGGTAAAAAAAAAAAAACATTTGCAAATTTGAAATTGCGCCTTTTTGCGAAAAGGTAAAAAAATGAAGGTACGCAAAACTGTAAATAAGCGACTTATGCTAAAAATTGTTTTTACGCTGTGTTGGTGTTGTGATAAAATGATACAGGCGTATATTTAATTGGAACACAAGGTATCACAACGCACGGCAATGCGTCACAATGATTTGTCATACGCTGCCGCAGTTAAAATAATGCGTTTCTCACGGCTGGCTATGGCCACGTGCATGCAGACAGATCAGCGCCCCTTGGTTACCAGGGTGGCTGATCTGTCATTAAACTGAGAACCCGGCAGAGCCGCCATGATATCACTGGGTTCTCAGTGTGTAATGACAGTTCAGCATCTCCTGGTTACCTAGTGACCAGGGAATGCTGAACTGTCATGAGAGCTCGTCGTCGTAATGACAGCTGGTCCCGGCCAATAGAAAACAGTTGGACCGATGGGCTGCTGTACGGGCTATTTACTTTAGCCCGTAGTTGGCCCGAAGTTGGCCCAGCGGCTTAGTCGAGCCGAAGGCATATGCTTCGGCTCAACTGAACAAAAAGGTGAAAGCCAAAGCTGGCACGAACTCAGCCGCAGCAAGCCGTTGTACGGCTGATTTCAGTCGGCGTATGGCTGAAATCAGCCGTACAAGCATGAAGTGAATAGCCTCCAGTATCACAGGATCACTCCAGTGTTTGTGCTGCACAGAGGATCGGTAATTATCAATGGTATTTATCGATCCCCCGCTCGGCTACACACAGAGCTGCTGTCATCCGGAAACTGACAGGATGACAGCGGTTCCGTTCTCCTCTTGCGGCTTCTCCCCGCCAGCCGACGCTCACTCCTCCAGGCAACACCTTTTTTTTTTTGATCCCCGCTGCCACAGCCCCTACAAGCGGGAGACAGCTTAAGCGACCATGAGCTTATAGCAGAACTGTAAATGCCAGGTCCGTACGGCATACGGACCTGGCCAGCCGGAAAAACTTTTGTTCCTCCGTATGCTGTACGTCCCTGGCAGGGAAAGGTGGTTCACATCTATTCACTGCAAAAGGATACTGGTTATGTTTTCATCAGGACGAATTGTAAAACCTTCCTCGTCAACATCTGGAAGGTCCTATATTAGAAAGAACAAAAAAGTAAACAATTTACATTAGAACTGTATTAAATGCTTGATCGTCTTCTCCTATGTACAAAACTAGAGTAAATGACAGTAAGTGTGTCATTTTAAACTGCTACCTAAACCTAAATGTAGTGTTGTGATTGTAGGAGCCGGCTATTACTATATTACAACTGACCTTTCTACCACTTAACAATTTGTATATTAGTTCAGAAGATGTATATTTTTAGAGCAATACATAGTACTATTTCCAGAAAGAACTCCCCTGCTATAAACTGGCTTTAAATTAGTGCTTCATTAAACTTGAGCAGAATTATACACAACGTAATTACATTCTGGTCTGGCTACTTTCCTTATCACTACAGGCTGGCATTGTAGGCAAATCTAGGCCGATAGTCTGGCCGGAGGCCGGCTTCCTGGACAATCAAGAAGCTGGACAGAGTGTGATGACTCGCTGCCTGGCTTTCTGACACCTGAAGCTCCGGTATTGGAGCATGACCGGGCTTCCTGATTGGCTATGAAGCCGGCTTCACTTGTTTCTAGGCAGTGTTGCCAATCAGGAAGCCTAGAGGCGGGTCATGACGTGCCTTCCTGATTGGCTAGGAAGCCGACCACTTTTTGCTAGGCAGCCTGGCTTCTTGACCAATCAGGAAGCCGGACAGCACCTCAGGACTTGCCACCTGTTTTCCTGAGTGGTCAGGAAGCCGGGCAGCCTCTAAAGCCGGTGTGCTTTCTCTATAACACTGGCTTTATGATCTGCCACCGGACTTCCGGATGATCGGGGCACAGAAAAAAATGGGTACTTGATACAGAAAAACGGTATTGGTGCATCCTTTGGATCTCTCTCTCTCTCTTTTATTTTTAGAAACACAGCAACCAAAAAAAAAAAATGGATATACACACTTTTCTTACCACACAGTCTGGCTCATTAGGCTCTCTGCAGATGAAAATAAAATAAAAAGCACAGTAAATATCACTTGTCAGCCTGTGGCACACTAAAATATTATAAATAGTGGTAATGTGTGTTTTTCTTACACAGGATGATTGTCCTTCTCCCTTTTGCTCAAACCACGGATACGGAATGGTTTGGACCATGTGCGCTTTACACCTGTGTGAGAATGAGACCTTTAGGAGTACATCTGGATGCGTGGTAATGAGTTTCCACAAAAGCTCTACCCCAACCAACACACACTAATCGTAGTGTCTGAATCTGAGGGCCTCGCCTTTCTTTACTTAGTCCGGTTTGGGAAATGATGAGGATTAACAGGCTTTTTCCAGCTGTTTTACTACAGCATACATGGAGCACACACAAGCTCATTAAATGAAATATCTTGCATCAGTGCAGCAGCTGACTTTTTACATTTTTAGTTTCAATCATTTGTTTTTCATATAATTTTTTGTTTTTAGTGTAAAATACATTCTCTGGAAGTCTAGGACACTGTTTAGAATTGTGTTGTGCCACGCCAAAACAAATGCCAGTGCCTCTGACAAATGTAAGTACCCATCGAAAAAAAGATACAGGAATTTGTCGCATGGAGGCATGGTGAGGGTTTGTACTGAGGCCTAAATGTCCATACCACAGTCACTCTGTGTGACCCATGGGTGGAACTTGCATTGAGGACAGAGTCATTGGTTGCTGGGATGATGTTGGCTACATAACGTCAGCGGTTGTTAAGGTGCTGTGCGGCCAACAGCGCCTTAGCATCTATGGACAATGTGCGGCCAACAGCATTCTAGCAACCAAGGAAGCTTTGCAGGCAACAGTGTCCAAGCAATCAAGTAAGCTACGCCGCCAACAGCGTCCCAGCAACCAAGGATGCTGTACAGCCAACAGCATCCTAGCAACCAAGGACATGGTGCAGACGACAATGTTATAGCTACCATTGACGCACTGCAGCTGACAGTGCCATAGCAACAAAGGACGCTGTACAGCAGGAGAAAAGTGTCACAAACAAGAACCCTGTGAATTTGTTGCACATATTGGTATTTACTATAGTAGTCTTGCAAACCTTTTAAGAATTTGGCATAAGAGGTATAGCTATAGCCATAAAACCAAAATTGTGTCGCAAAGACTTTGTTGAATCGTCCCCATCAGGTCTTCTTTTAGTAAAAGCAAAAGAAAAAAAAAAGAAGAGAACCATGGTATGCTGGTGGCATTGCCTTTAACTACAATTTAACGGGTTCATGTCCATATTAATTAGATTCCAGTTGAAGTTTCCCTAATTAAGGAATTATCTCCACTAGTGTGGATAATATCATTTACTGGCTACATATTTTGATATTTTACAGACCTTCTAATGATGCAGGAAAACGGAAGCCTTCAAACTCCACAGCCTCTGAAAAAAAAAGCCAAGAGAATAAGAAAAAACTAGATATTGAGAAACTGCTGAGTATCACTTTCATCCAGTCTGCACATGTTCAGAAAATGCTCAGTGCTGCATTTTGCACTGCCACAATAATCATACAGTTATCTCACCAGGGCGCTCTGTGCCTGTTCCATTGCTTTCTGCAAACTTCCTGATCAGCTTGTCTATGGCTACATTTTCCATGTTGTGCTTAAACTCTTCTTGGACCTAAGGAAAGGAAGAAAGAACATATTGAAAAGCAAACCATACTATTTTTAAACTACAGCCTGAACAGATTGAGCCAATTAAAAGATACCAGTAGGTTTTTATTCACACCATGTGTTCTCAACTATAAGTACTGCACTGCTCCTAAATACAGAGCAGAGTTGCCACGCTCATATAGGCTGTGACTGCTTGCACTACAGTGAGGATCACAAATGTTGCATGGGGATGTGGCTATCAGTACTATCACTGCTGATGCACAAGTCTATAGCTTGTCAGTCAGCACTTGACCACAACTAATCCTCTCCACTGCTTTCTGGATGGAAAGCACTCCCTCTGTTGCTGAAACCTTCCCACTGTGAGCTGCAGTGTCTGGGAGGGGGAGTGTGAGACACAAATGCAGGAGGATTTGGCTCAGTCAGATAAGGTAATGGAGGTATTTTGTTTACTTTAGGAGTCTTGTCCATAACATATCAACTGGATTTGGTATTTGTTTGTGATACAGGAGCCTTTAGTTGTCCTGTAAAGCTCCAATAGTTAACCTTGCCTTTTGTAGCTTAATATTAAAATGTACCTCCAGGTATGTGGCTTTTACTAAAAGCATAGGGAGTCAAATACAATATTACCAGCAACAATCTACACTTACCTGTCCAATCTGTACATGAGTATCCTCCACAGAATGTGAATATGCTGTAACAAGCCTCCTCATTTGTTTAAGATGAGCTGCCTCTGTATCTTGAAATAACTGGAAAACAGATTGCGATATACAGTACTTTTAACCACTTTGCGATTGCAAAACATCTGTTTAAGCCCTTAATGCCATGAGAATGTTACCTAAAGTTGCAGCAGAGAACAAAGTCTGGTCATCTAAGCATCATAAAAACTAGGAATACACCGATATTGTTTTTGCGGTATCGAGTAGGAGTACCGATATTTTTTTTCAGTACTCGCCGATACCGAAAGTCCCATTAAGGAAGCCAGGCGGCATGTAAAGACTCACCACCCGGCTTCCCAAATAGCAGGGAAGCCCTCTCCATGCTCCCTCGTGTAATGACTCATTGCCCGACTCCTGATTGGTCGAGAAGCTGGCCAATCAGGAAGCCGGGCAAAGAGTCATTACACAGTGCCCGGCTTCCCGATTGGCAGGGAAGCCGGCTCCATGCTCCCTCTTCACCAGGTGACAAGGGAGAATGAAGTTGGCTTTCTGGCCAATCAGAAAGGTGGGGGGCAGGTAAGGACTCACTGCCCGTCTACCTGATACCAGAAGCTCAGGTATCGGGCTAGGCATCACAGCATTTGGGCAAGTACGAGTACTCGCCCAAATACTCAGCATCGGTACCGATACCCATACTAGAATCGGTATCAGTGCATCCTTAATAAAAATGATTCCATTTTGGTTATCTACATCTAAAAGTGCTACCTAACAATAGGCCTGGCAAAGTGCCTTGTCCAGAAATGCCTGTTCATTGCCCAATATAAGATTTCTCACTTTACCTTGACTTCAGGCCTAAGCCTCTATGCCCACCCATCACATCCGGTCCAAAAAGGATGCCATTCAGGCCAATAAGAGTACTCTCACTGGAAAGGGGATCAATAGGAGGGTAAAGGCTATGTCCAAAGTAAAAGACATTTTGGCTGGAGTTTAACTTTGCTTCACTATATTCAACAAAGTAAAGCAAAATAAAATGTAAATAAAAATCGCAGCACAGAAGTAGCAAATACATCACAATCTCTACTCAAGACCAACTACTGATGTACTCGCATTATGTTTTATTTGATTAAACGTAACTGTAGAGTTCCAGACGTATGTCAAAGCTAAAAAGTGCACGTCAGGTGATAAATATTTAGGCTGCTATTGTTCTAAAAATGCAATTTGCCTGACTGTTTTTGCCATAAACAATTCTAACAATTCTAAGTCACAGATGTGGCAGACTCATGCAGCACATAATTGTATCAAGAAAGGGTAAGAATGAATTAATCTTCATACTTCTTCCAGGTTAATGACTCAATTAAGCACAGAACCTAAACAAGAGCTTAGCAGTCAGACAACCATGGAATCCACGTCATCAGCCACCTGTTGTGACAGTTTAGAAGGAGGGCTCATGCTCACTTCATTTTTCACTAATGCTATATTACAGAACTTGAAAGAGGAGTCTTGAACCATGAATGAGACTTCATGACTGGGGGACAAAAATCTCTCCACTGAAGTCCCCAAAAGAAATAAAGTCAGTTGGTGAACTCACTGTGAATGGATGGCGCACTAAATTATAAAATCAACAGGACGCTCCAGAGGAAGCACCATGATTAAGGTAAGTGGGGGGCAGGTGGCTTTGGGGTAGATAATGCAACCGTGTTACATCATCTTGAATATGGGTGTAACATGAAACTTGGTCAGAAAGATGAACTATACATTTGCTATTTGTGTTCTAATGAAGAAGTCTCTATCAACAATTCTGCCTGTATTCTTGTATAACTTTTTTTTTTCTTTACAGTTCTTAGAGGTCTTATGTTTGTTGGTATTTGCATTTCCAACCTACAAAAGATCTGCCTTGCGAGATGTGTTCTGGTGGTTGCTAAGTGTTACGCATTCCTGAACCCTACATACTCCTGACAAATGCACTCTGTAGATCACAAACACCTGACCTCTGCACTAACTAGGCTGAAGATTTAAGCCACTTCAGCCTTCAGGACATAAAACTGTCTATGAAGGTTCTCATTCATCCAGGTCATGGGATATCTGTAAAATATAAGTCAAGAAAACTAGACTTGCTGAATTAATTTTTCTTGAAGATGTTTTACTGGTCATCCAACCAGCTTTCTCAATTCAGAATGACTTGCACACAAATTCTCTGGGAATATATATGGTGAATGTTGCTCCAATCCACATCATCTGTTAGTCGCAACCAGGTGTTGATTGCATTTGCATAATTGGAGTCTAGGAGGTATTATTAACCTGCCCAGAGAGAGGTGTTTAAACAGCAAGTCCTAACTGCAAGTATGTTAGTATTAGTCTGCTTCTTCTTTCACTGTCCAGTCTCAGAGTGGGGAATGGGCAAGACTTGCAAGTGTTACTAAACTGCAACAGAAAATCAGTTACAATGTAGCAAAATAACACTGCGACATTTGTTTAATTTATAAAGAAACAGCTGCTTCTGTGATGCAAAATAAATCCAACCGTCAAAATGACAACTAAGATTTGCTGGTAATTGCAGCTGGGGCGCTGTGGGGGAGAAAGAAGAAAAGGGCTACATATGCGCAAGGAATTTAAAAGAACTTTCTCAGGACATCTGTGTTAAAGTCCACAACTGGTTAAGGACTGCCATGGCAACTTCTGTTGTCATCAAACAATTGCTTGTTCAGAAGAACTCTACAGGAGAATGTTACTGTTTAAATAATATTTATGCATTTTTATCTGCATATTATCTATAAAAAAATTATTCTAGATGGACTGAAATACAAATCATTTGACGGGTGAATCAGCTTCCTTATATACTTATATCTGTGTATTTGGCGTTTTGTCCAGAGTTCAGCTTTAAAGAAGAACTCTGGGCAAAAATATTCTTAACCCTTGCAGTGGGGCTGCCCCCACACTGCATAGGGTTAAGTGCTCGTTTTCATCTGGGGATGAAAATAACAGAGCCTTTCTCCCCCTCCGCTCTGACTATCAAAGGTCTTCGGAGTTATGTATATGACGTGAGGGGACGAAGAGGGACATTTGATCACTGGAGCAGAGGAGGAGACAGGCTGGAGGGACCAGTTTATCAGCCAGCTGGCTGCCAGGTTCAGACAAGCGAATTGTATTATTTTTGTCCCCAGACAAAAACAAGCACTTAACCCATGCGGTGTGGGGGTAGCCCCACTGCAAGGGTTAAGAATATGTATATCCTGTTTGTGTCTGAGTGTTGGTCTTAAACCTTTTTTCCTTCTGTCACAAAGGGACTGACATGCCTCCACTATCAGGTTTTTTGTGCTATCTGTATTACTGTTAGAGAGATTCACTCCAATTCTCCTGATCACATGTTACTGTTAGGCTCACCATACGCGTTACAATCTGGCCACACAATATCTGTACAATCAACTTTAGATCTACAAAAACGATGAAATATGAGGCCCTAGCTATTCTATCCAATCAACTTGTATCCAATCATGCAGGCCCTTGAACTTCATACTTGTTGGTAGATCTAAATGCGATTGTACAATCAGATTGTAACGTGTGTGTGTAAACTTTTAAGAGGGGATTTCCCTCACATGGAAATGATATCTTCTTACTTCCTGTTGAGTCTACACAGGAGGTGTAGGGAAATCCCCTAAAAATAACTACATTGTGGAAGTATAAATCTCTATGATTTCCTCCAGAACATACCTTGCTAATAAAGTGGCCAGGATGCAAAATCCAGAATAAGCATTTAAAATCCATCACACCCAGTGATTGTAATTTTTATACCACTGTAATTATCGCCTCTTGTGTTTTCAAGAAGGTAAACTCTACAATGCAAAAACTCTTACAAAATGTTGTGCATTCTTAGTAGGAGTTCTCCTTTAAAGGAGAACTATGAGATGAGTGATTTCCACTCACCTCATAGTTCTAGCCGACCTGTGACAATGAGACTGTCACAGGTCGGCTCAGTAGATCGGGAGGTGAGAGAACACATACCGGGTTCCCTCACCTCTCGATCCTGTCACGGCTCTCTGCCGTGACAG